TTTTTTTTTTTTTTTTTTTTTTTTTTTTTTTTTTTTTTTCTGTTTCCAACGCTGAAAGACGATATCCAACGTGGAATACATTGACTATCTTGCGTATGGAAAACATGTGGCTCGACGAATACGAGTATGTGGCTATCTCTGGGTTTGCGACTGGTAGTGACCTTGATTGCGAATTAATAATAGAAATTACTCACTATCAATGGGCGATAACCGAAGGTCCGCGACTCCGACCGACAAATTCGTTCGAGCCAATTAAATTCACCATCTAGTATTTTTTTAAAACACTTCTCGATTCATCCTTAACTCTCGTGTCAACGAATCAACATCCGTTATTATCTAAATTTTAATTAATTAAATTTAAATTGAATCATCGTTACTTCACATCAATATATATTTATTTCACTCAACTTTGGAGAATTGTATCGCCAAAAGCTTAACGCGTTCGTCGAATTTTATAAAAATCTGAAATTCTTAATTTGAGCCATCTTTTCAAAAATTTTTAACACGCTCCTCTCATTATCTCGTCCTAATCGTTCTCAGAAAAAAAGATACTCGTCGAATTTTCCAAAAAAATTCCATGCAACTTCTCTTTCGTTCGCACAAAGAAATATTTGTAAAATTTTCTAAAAAGTTTCCAATCCGAAAAGATAGAATTTTCCAAAAAAAATTCCATGAAATTGCCAACTTCTTCCAGGCGAAAAATAGAGGACATCTTTGCGAAAAAAGTTTCCAATCCACACACGCTTCTTTCATTTTAACGTTCATTCACAGAAAGAAATATTCGTAAAATTTTCTAAAAAATTTTCAATCCACACGTTCCTCTCGTTTTAACGTCCGTTCACAGAAAGAAATATTCGTAAAATTTTCTAAAAAGTTTCCAATCCGAAAAGATAGTTATTAGATAGAATTTTCCAAAAAAATTCCATAAAATTGCCAACTTCTCCCAGACGAAAAATAGTTGACATCTTTGCAAAAAAAGTTTCCAATCCACGCTTCTTTCATTTTAACATCCGTTCACAGAAAGAAATATTCGTAAAATTTTCTAAAAAGTTTCCAATTCGAGAGGATAGTTATTAGAATTTTCCAAAAAAATTCCATAAAATTGCCAACTTCTCCCAAACGAAAAATAGTTGACATCTTTGCAAAAAAAGTTTCCAATCCACGCTTCTTTCATTTTAATATCCGTTCACAAAAAGAAATATTCGTAAAATTTTCTAAAAAGTTTCCAATCCGAAAAGATAGTTGAAAAAAAATTTTTTCAAAAAAAATTCCATGAAATTGCCAACTTTTCCCAAACAAAAAATAATGGACATCTTTGCGAAAAAAGTTTCCAATCCACGCACACTTTTTTCATTTTAACGTTCGTTCACAGAAAGAAATATTCGTAAAATTTTCTAAAAAGTTTCCAATCCGAAAAGATAGTTGAATTTTCCAAAAAAAATTCCATGAAATTGCCAACATCTCCCAAACGAAAAATAGAGGACACCTTTGCGAAAAAAGTTTCCAATCCACGCACGCTCCTCTCGTTGTCTCGTCCGAGGAATAATTCGCGGCTCGCGTCACAGGGAATCGTTTAAATTTATCTCCGATTTGCGTCACGCTTTCGGTTTATTGCCAGTAAAAGCGTTCGACGACGTGATCGAAATCCCCTTGTTCGCACGTCCACGTTTTCTTGCTCCTTGCGCCACCGTGATCCATCTCGGCTCCTTCTTGGCGCCTCTCTTCGCCATCTTTTTCCTTTTTCCTTTTTTCCCTTTTCCCTCCCCTCCTTCATTTTTTCCATCTTCCACGATATGGAAGAAATCCAGCGGAGCGTTATTATAAATAATCGGAAAGAACGAGTCTCTGATTCAGGCGCCACGCGGGGAAAGGTTATCGATTGGCGTGTCCAAACGGAGGATATTACGTACGTTGTTTTTCCACGAGGATGATGAGAGAGAAGGGTGACCGGTTAAATTAGCGATGAAGTAAGCGGCCACGCTCCGGAAAGCGCAACAAACGGAACGACACGCACGACTAGAGATAGCGCTCCTTCCGCGTTTTATCTGCGTAT